CTATCAGACACCTTCAGCTCCTCTGAGGGAAACCTGAGGCGTTTCAGGGCCAATCAAGAAACATCGTCCCTCCAGGGTGTCCTGGGTCTCCTCCTGGTATAACATGCCTGGAACACCTCCTGAGGGAGACGTCCAGAGGGCATCTGAAACAGATGTCCAAGCTACCATAGCTGCAGAGCTCCTCACTTTATCTCTAAGGGAGGGCCTGGCCACCATGTGGAGAGAACTCATTTCAGCTGCTTTGATCTGGATTTTGTTCTGCTGGTCATGATCCAGATTTCATGACAGTAGATCAGGGTAGGAAAGTAAACTGATCTCTGAATCTAGAGCTGTACCTTTTGGCTCAGCCTCACCGTCCGTCTGTGAATATTTAGTAGCGGTGGAGGACGTCTCTACATTTTCTACAGTCAGACACAGAGTCCAGAAGTGAAGTTTCTAAAGTGGAGTTTAAACTTATCAGACAATAAAACGTCTAACTAAAACTGATCCTATTCTGATCAGAAAAAACATTTCAACATTAACTTTATTAGCATATTTGCATTTATCAAGCTAACAACAGGGTAATTTATAGGTTTTATGGTGGGAAAAATAATTTTATTCAATCGGATTAATTAAATTTTTAAACTATTATCAACTTTCACATTTTATTCCAGTGTTGAACACTCTCCTCTGCTGTGGACAAACTCAAGGTAACGTAAGCTTTTAATCTTCATTACAAAGAGAATTTTTCTTTTTCTCTTTTATAATTTTAATTTTAGTTGTTTATATTTATTATAAACCAGAAAACAGATGTGAACTAAATGCTGGTTCTACTGTAGATGCTGTGCTGACAATTCAGCCCAACTGGTCGACATTTTATGCTGGAGAGTCTGTTACTTTCATCTGTGACATGAATGAAGGAGCAGAAACTGACTGGATTTACAGAATAATATGGAATGGACAACAATTTGTCCGCTACGGTTCACATAAAAGCTACACATTAAAACCTCTCCAAACAGGTAACAGTGGTAAATATAAGTGCTGTGGTTCCAGAATCGGCTCACATCAATCCAAGTGCAGTAATACTATCTCTATAACTGTTTCAGGTAAGATTTCAGTATTTAAAAACTAATAATTAATTTAAGCTCTATAACATCATGCATATTTTCAGGTCAGAAAAATAACAAAATTGTAAAAACAAAAACAAGGGATCATATTCATAACAAGGGAATATAATCATGTTTAATCGGAGACATACAGGAATTGTTAAAAAATAATAATTTACTTTGTATGATGAAACAAAACATTTAAAAATTAATTCATTGGTTTATTTGAATGTAAACATTTGAAAATAAGGTTTAAAAATTATATGTTTTTATGTACATATTTAATTTTCAAGAACATTTCTTTTTACTACGAAAGTTTATAGTCTGTAATATAAAATCAACAATTTTTCTGTTCATAACAGCAGATAAACCCAGATCCAAACTGACAGCAGGTCCATCAACCATACCAGTAGGGGGCAGTGTGACAATGAGCTGCACTATGGAGCCCTCTGCTGGATGGAGGTACAGATGGTTCAGAAGGACCTCAGACACCTCTGAAGTTGAAGTCAGAATAAATAATGAGGAAAACAGAGAAATCACTGTGAGACAAGGAGGAATCTACAGATGTGATGGAGTGAGAGGAAACCCAGACTTCTATACACATTCAAGCTCTGAGGTCACTGTGGAGATAACCTGTGAGTTTGTGATTGAAAATTATGATAATCTAAGTCTATTAAATCAAATTAATCAACTTATTTAACAGATTTCTGTTTAAATCTGATGTGAACAGTTTCCAACAAGGTTGCTGTGACTCAAAAACCAAACAGCTCTCAGATGTTCAGTGGTGAGACGATCACTCTGACATGTGAGGTCCAGGGAGGAGAAAGCACTGAGTGGACGTATGAATGGAGGAGATCTGGTTCTGTTATACACAGCACACCCAGTAAAGACTGGACTTTTATTGTTTCTGAGTCCAGCAGTGGAAAATACACATGTCAGTGTAGAAGCAGAGATGACTGGTATTCTTCAACAGAGTGGAGTGAATCAATCATCCTGTCAGTATCTGGTAAGTCAGGTTTGTTTTGATCTAAGAGGCTGAAGCCAAACTAAACTAAACAGCTGTTTGCTGCAGGGGGAGGTTGGACAACTGGTCTATGGGACAGATTTGAACTTTAAAGACGAATCTTAGTATAAACTGTAGAAAAGACATTAAATAATATAAAAATTAAAAATAAAATAAATAAAAATAATAAAATTGAGATCAGCCCTTTTTATTAATTTATTTTTTGAAAGAGAAATATCTCTAAAGGCTTTTCAATTAATCTAACAGAATCCAATCTGATCCAATTTTTCTTTTATCTTAAGCATTTTAAAAACAACCAAAGCTGACTAAAGCGCTGCACAAACAAAAAATAAAATAAAACAAAACATAAAACAGTACACTGCGATGGACTGGCGACCTGTCCAGGGTGTACCCCACCTCTCGCCCATTGACAGCTGGAGATAGGTACCAGCACCCCTCGCAACCCCAATTGGGACAAGCGTGTTAGATGTTGGATGGATGGATAAAACAGTACAAATTAAAAAAAAAACAGCTTAAACATGGATAAAAATTATATCCGCACATATAAATCAATAAAATTGCGTAAAACATAAAAAAATAAAACAATAACAGATAATAACCATATTCCATTTTCCTTCATGCCACATTTACTCAGTGCTTTTTATTGGCCTGTGCTAGAAAAGCATAAAACTCTTCTTTATGTCCGTATAACATCTCTGAGTGCTGAGAGGTCTCTCTAAGCTCCATCATCTAAAATGACTTTAATGATGACCCTCAACAGACTGAATGCAGTGACAGACAAACATGGATTTTCTGGTAGCAGGACAGTTTTTGAGGCATTTTGAGAAAAGTCTACCCAACACAGAGAAACATTTTTTCTCTTTGATCTCATTGTTTCTGTCTTTGGTAATACAAAAAAGACTAAGCTGAAAAGCTCAGGCACATTTCTAGCTTTAATAAAAGCAACATTGATGAGAAAGACAATAATTCAAGATGTAAATATAGAATAATGAAGAAATGAAACACTATGAGTAACTCTTTAATATAAAGTTAACTTTCAGGCTTAGATCTAACTGATATGTCTAATATTAACATGACATTTCCTCACAGCTATGGCTTTTTCTATCTCTGCCAGATGAAATCATTCTCACCCATCAGCTCCTTTTAGATGCAAAGGGGAACTTTAAACTTGTTCTGCAGAGGCTTCTCATGCACTACAAACCAAACAGCATTTTTTACTTTGTATAATTAAACAAAACATTTAGAAACTAATTCATTGGTTTATTTTAATGTCTAAATTTGAAAATAAGTTTTGAAATGATAGATTTTTATGTATATATTTACTTTTCATGAACATCACTTTTTATTATTAATGTTTATTGTCTTTAATATAAAATCAAATATTTTTGTTTTTCATAACATCAGTTAAACCCAGAGCCAAACTCACAGCAGGTCCATCAACCATACCAGTAGGGGGCAGTGTGACAATGAGCTGCACTGTGGAGCCCTCTGCTGGATGGAGGTACAGATGGTTCAGAAGGACCTCAGACACCTCTGGAGTTGAAGTCAGAACAAATAATGAGGAAAACAGAGAAATCACTGTGAGACAAGGAGGAATCTAC